TTTTATATAATGGTCTATATACAATATCAGAATTTTATTTTCCTAAAACCATTTCATTATTGTTTACAATATATTTGTTTATCCCTTTATACTATCATTATTAGTACTATACCATATGCTCGAAGGTTATGAGTACTGATAGAAATTAATAAATATGACCAAATATGAACTATTGTCACATACGTCGAATTCAATGATGAATTAGATTAAATGAAGTTCGGTAGCGTCGGTCAATAAGGACAGAATATAAAGATCACGGCACACTACTCTCATAATCAGTATAATATTGGATAAACTAGTGACAGTAATTGAACAACCTACCGACATGGATATCGCTGTACTATAGTTAACTCTTGACAACAGGACCAAATGGAAACATCCAGAGTAAAAATAACGTATTTATCTACGTTATTTTGTATTAATTTACCATAATGTTATTTAAGTTAAGATCCAACTAACAGTTTTCCTACCTAATATATGTTTTTAGAATTTTAGAATTAAATACCAGTATAATCTCTCTATACCAAATTTAAATGTAAGCATGATTGAGTAAAAATTACTGATATATGTCTGTAAACTTTTCAATTTACGATATTAGCAAGACTGGTACGTATATCGTATCAAAGCTCATCTTCCAGCTCTATTAAAAACAGTGCATAGTCATTACTCACTATATATCGGAATTACGGGTGTAAAATTTTGAGCTTGATTGGATGGCAGCAAATGCTTGAAAAATGGATCACAAATGAAGTGGAAAGACAGACGGAAATATCGATGTAAGCAAGCAAGTTAAATAAAAATGGAAAACAATATATTTCTAATATCACGCCAGGTTTCTTACAAGCAGTGGGAACCGAGTGCAATAAATTCACGATCTTTTCATATATCCTTTGCTGCATGCACTTTGTAGCTCGTGTTATATACGAGCGCTGGTTTCTTATATTTCTACTCCTCGCATCATATCTGCCTTGATCATGACTTTTAAATTACAGAGAGAAGGATTGTGTGATTGGAGTGTGATGTATCTACATTAATGTTTGTGACATCTGTAACCCTGTTCAAAAAATAAATACTTATCTAGAATCCAAAAAAGTATATTAATGACATTTCATAATTAAAAATATTCTTTTGATAATTCTTTAAAAAAACTGATCATCAAAAAATATTGTGTCACATTATAATAATAAAGCGCAATCAATATTGTTATTACGTACTTCATATTGCGTTACATATGTATACACACAACAATACAGTATAATTTAGAACTTCTTTCTTTTTCAAATTTGTTGAAAATTACAATTTAGTATTACTTGTACGCAAAGACAACCCTACACAGCGGGGCAGGGGGCCGGCCGCCCCCTGTCAGCCCCACGTGCTGCTCGACAGATGTGTCGAGATATCCGATATCGGGAGACACATTCATAATCTTTGCCTCAAACCTCCCGCTTCTTATATTAAAGTAACGAGCGTCATACCAGGTGCGAACTTGACGCGAATTAATAAAAATCAAAAGCAATACAAGCGTAGGTTTTCTGAATTAATTTCTAAAGTATATTTATGTAAATTAAAGTTATTCTATGCGTTGCTGCCAATGATTAAAATATGACTACCTACCTATGACTTTGGAAGGTTGTGAACAATATCTTACGTGACTAGACAATATCTTACGTATCTAAATTAATGTACACCCATATTATTAATATTATAAAGAAAGAAAGGAGGATTTTTTTAAAGTAATCCCCGACCACCACACAAACTTTTCATATTTTATCTAACCACGAGTTATAATTAGTATAATTTTGACTGTGTTTCTAGATTATTAGAAGAAGTGAGATCGAGTTCCATTTCCATTATGTAGTGTGTATATCCTGCAATTTTAAAATGAACATTATAATATGATATTGTATATGTATACATGAAAATGTAATAATCCTCTTAGAGAGATTAGAAAGAGAATTTTGTCCCCTCAGAGATTTGAAAATCCCCTCCTGAAATTGGAAATAAACGCATTGAACTAAGCCCAACACGGGCTCCCTAACATAACATGCTTGAATGCAATGATACTGGACATGGGATCAAAATGCCGATAAGGCAAATGACTTGATAAGATAAATGAATATAAATAAATATTAATTTATATATAGTTTTTAATTTACAAACATATTTTAATTTACATTAAATTTTCATTTATAAATGTTTATGTCTACGAAATAGATAGAAAGGCAAGTAATTGGCATTGCGACTTTAATACGTCAGAAGAGTGAAGGGCCAGACTCTAGCCGTAGCAAATCACCTGTAAGCCTCCAGATTTAATTAAAGTATTCCTTCTAAAAAATAAAGGTAAGTATCTGCCCTAATTGAAGCCAGGAAAAATAAAGTTAATTCCTCGAGCGACGCTGAAGAACTTTCATTAGCGTTTCACAGCTACAATTGCGAGTTCAAATAATTATATTTACGGAATCCTTTTCTTACGCAGAGATTATTTATCTTCTCCATTGTTACGAGAAGTGACGCGGACGAATTTCGCGAAAATGCCCCATTTATCTAGAGCGAGCACACAAAGGCAACACGAAACCCAAAACTTTTTACGTGGTCAGTGACAATGCTATTTCTCTCTTTTCTCTTAACGTTTCATTTCCAACTTTTACGTATTGTATTTACACAGTGTCTGTATATGGGAGCAAAGTACACGAGCCTAACGCAGGAAACGCGGCACTCATCCATTTAGAAGAACTTAATTTACTTTGATTCTGTGGTCCGATTCCATATTTGTTCAGCCATCACACCCGCATATAAGTTCACTAGTGTTTCCTATACCTATTTTCTATTAAGTTATGTCCATATATACTCTTATCTATGACTCTTAAATTTATCGCTGTAGATGTTGTTATATTATCTTTAATGAAGGAAACATGGTTTATTAAATTAGTTTACTACTTGAGTAAATTGAAATTTTATGTAAAGTTTTTTATAAAGTAATTTTAAGAACATTATATTTAATTATTCAATGTAATTTTGCTTAATCACAGATATTATTTTTTTACCAATGTATCATAATTAACGATTCGATTTTTAAACGATATAAAAGAATATATAAAATATCTCCTAAATATTATTTTCGCGTCATGATACAATAAGTCTGATATAATTCTTATAATCTATTTTTTTATATATGAATATTGGTTTATTTACCTAGTTCAGCGGTTCACATTAATAACTAAGGATATCGCCTCCACTAATATATCTATGTATTGCCGCGGCGCTCGGATGTTAAACTTATAGTCTAAACATCAAAACAATTCTTTACCAAGTTCCCAACATCTTCTCAATACCATGTTTTATATAAGTGGGGATTGTTTCCAATCGTTTTTATTGGGAAAGCAATAACGCAGAAACGATTTTCTTGATATACCGCGCCGACCTTATAATGCATAAAGAAAAAACGGTCATCTACGGAACTCAACTCAACCCTTATTTGCCTTTTCGGGGTGTTACTATCTCTGCCTCAATTCCTACGCAAAGCCACCCGGCCGCGCGTGAAATACCAAGTACGGCCTAGTTTCGAAACAGATCCCACTGTTTGTTTAGGCCACTCGAACCCGCGAAAGGTGATGGACTTAATAATAACAATGCGTTATTCTATACTTCTCGGCATTATAAATATTAACAGGCGTGAAATCCATCATATTGGCTCTGGATACAAGGGTGCGAATAAAAAAGACTTTGTAGCTACTTGACTCTTTATTTGCTAAGTTTGGCGAGAGCGTGACATCGATCCCATGTCATGAGGTTTGCTCTCACGTGCCCATATCAACACGTGGAAGTGGGAAGAACAAGTCCAAAGTTTTACAGGGTTGTACACGATACGTGTCAGCATAATCGGGACGCCACCTACTGTTTGTATTGCGGCTCGCTAATACTATTTGTCGTAGCGGGTGGTCACGTCACGTGTGTGTATCTTAATCGTTAGACAGAAACATGCCTGCTCATCACCTTGTTTTGTTTGCCACTTTGAACAGAAACTCCATCCAATATCAGGTGATTTTGTGATTTAGTAGAACGTGTTTAAACTAGCAGATTTTTTTAGTGACATATACGATCAAGAAATTAGTTGTCAATAACAAATTATAAAAACAAGCATTGTAACTGCTGCGATAGATACTTACTATGCAGGTTTGATTTTGATACTGGAAGCAAATATTACTTCATTATTAAATAGTCATTGTTTACAATAATCGATCTCGGTTTGAAATACAAGTAAGAAACTGCATAGTAAATAAATGTATCAATCAATCAATGAAAATTAAGATGCTTTTTCATTACTGTCTCGTTCTTTCTCATGCAAAACGCATTTTATTATTACATTAATAAAATGCCTCACTTGTACAGACCTATTGAAAAGATTTTTTATACTTATATAGTAGTTGATCACAATACAGCATGATGTACAGTTTGCTATATATTCATTCTTGTATGTTACAATTTTTTTACTTAAAAACTAGGTGATTTCCATCTAATAATCAAAATCTTTATTATAAAGGCATAAACTTTATCCACTTTCAATGTTATACTATTCAGTGGATTCAACATAAAACCCGCTCGTTGGTGCTATCAAAATCTGATTGACGTGCCTTTTGAAATTAACTCTACACGAACTAGTCTTAATTAAATTGATATCAAAGATGAAACTTTTCATCAACTTGGAATGAGTTAAATGTCTAACTTTGGTTAGATAGATCAAACTATTCAAAGTTACAAAAAAGTTTTGTAAACACAGTTTTCGATTCCTACTGAAGCTAAACGTATTTCTGTAGTCTAAACCCTGCCATTGACGATGCTACTAAATTACCATTAACAATTTAATATTTGTGTAATTTTTGCGACTTCATGTGTATTTAAAGGATAACCTCTACAATCATAAATATACCATATGAAAAATAATCTGTAATTACAAATCGTAGCACAGTTGAGTAACGTTCTCCTATTTTCTTTTGTTTCAGGTTTCGGTTTCGTCACATTTCAAAGTGAAGACATAGTAGATAAAGTGTGCGAAATACATTTTCACGAAATCAACAACAAAATGGTAAGTATTTTAAGATATATTTTTTTTTTTACTATCAGTAAAAGAAATCTATTTGACAAGGAAGAATTATTAAAATCTATAAGGAATTGCAAAAAAAATTTCATAAATATAAAAATCTTTAGTAGCTTCTTGTCTTTGAGGAATAATAACTAAGAAAATAATCAACATAACTATAATTTTGAAGACTTCAACACTACGCATTACCGATAGTTTTTTTAAATTATTTTACCTACAATATACTCTGTTCATATTTTATTTGTTAATAACTACAATACAGTTCGAGTTCAGACATATGTTAGATATTCTTTTGACATATATTGGTTATATACTTGAAATTTAGTTTAAGCCTATATTGTTAACTAACAAAAATAGTATATTAGACCATTATCTTTTATAACGTAGAAATATATCTAATATATTCTATATCTATAAAATGGCTATAAAGCTCAGATACATTGATAGCACTACCGATGTTCGGATCAGAATGTACACGAAATCTGAAATTCTTGTGTCTGTTATTTACAGCACAGAAATCTTGATTATGCAAGTCAATCTCGGTGCTAACGTTGTCGGTCAGATATCAATTAGAGGCGAAGGAACAGAGTTGGCGGCGATCCAAACAGAGCCAATAAAATGCCACTAAACCAGCTTTTACTATGTTTAGATTTTTTCTCCCGCTGAGAGGGTTAGCCGTCAATCGACACGTGTATTCTGAATGGAGTCAATGTATTGTTGTGTAAATATCAATTTCTTTAACCCCTTTCTTGGGAAATTGCGTATAAACTTGTACATATATACACGACTGCATCCTATTGTAGTGGATAGAAACAATAGAAAACCGAATGCTCTTTCACATGCTTAACAATGATCAATCTATTCTTATATTTAAGAAATAAAATGAGTTATTTCATAATATGTCAGAAACAGTACGTATACGTTATAATCATATGATCTAATATAAGCACCTAAGCAAGACTCCATTTGATGATTAGACGCACAACATACCCTACATATCAGCACGACCTGCCGGACGCTAAATCGTAACAACCATAGACGCTTTTATGCGGTTTATTTCGCAATACATTACCAGTCACCCTTTACAAGACTATTACAATCATGTGCTGCTATAAACCTTGCCTATTAACGGGGGATGAACAAACACACAATACATCTATTGTCTTAACTATATTTTAATGAAAATTTCAGGACATATCCAAATTAATTATTACTTTATCTTTATCCACGCACCATTTTATAGTGTCAATAAAAATAATTTTACGATAATTGCTAAGGCAATAAACACTAAGTACACGAAGTGTATTTCTTGTAATAAATCTGATTAAAAAATATATAATATAAAAATAGTAACCAAAAGTTCATATAATGACTATAAAAAAGAAGGTATTTGGGATAGAGTATTTTTCCATTAATTCTTTAAGTTATCTTTGCATCTCCTAGTTGCGACAAACACAACTTTCTAAATAATATAACTCATGTTAGAAACTTTATCACAAAATTGGTTTAGCGATTTGTTACCAACTCAATATTCAATGATATCCCGAATAATCCTTAAGTTCAACCGCCTTACAATAAGACATTACAAAGCCAAATTTTAAAAATTCACATTAATTTCGCATAGGTTTCGAAAATAAGCGATAAAATTTCAGAACATTTATGAATATTTTTTTCACGTATTACTACCAATCCGTAGAGCTTTTGGGAGCTTAACACTTTTTCAGTAATGGCATCAATAAATTAAAATTCATGACACATTACTTATGGCATAGCGTATACTGAAAACTGATGAAATAAAGCCTGATTACCAATATTATTATGTAATTCCTGTTTCACACTTAACTATATTACATTAAATAATATTATCTCTACTTATTCTCAACCATTACATGATCGTGCTTGTCCTATGGGATTCTATCAACCCGTCGTCGATGCATATTCCTGATTGTTAATGCTTGTTTTTTGTCTTGCTCTATTGTGCCTCGCCTAATGGTAGTACGAAACACGGTACTGCGTACGTCGGACGAAATCACAAGGGTGATGCTCTCCCTAAGTGATACAAACAACGAACAAAGACATCAAACAAATGGGTAGTGTTTTAGAGTAATTACGGCTTACTTCCGTGTGAAAACGTGAGATGTGCATGTAGCGAGCTTCCCTACCACCGCCGTGTATACTCGGAAAACTAATCGCTTATTATTTTCCCCTTTTTTGTTGCGTGTCGAGCAAAATGATCAACGCCACGGTTAAACTCCGTTTTCACTTTTTTCGTAAACAATGTTTCAGTTACAAAGCAAAGAAACATTGTTTGGATTAACTCTTCACGTTACACACTTTACAGAATATTTAAATTTACGACCAAAGGATATACAATGAAAACGTGACTCGTAAACAAATCCGGCCATTAAAAATTCGCCTTAGCATATCATAAACACATCTAATAGTTATATTTACGTACGCAATAAAGAAGACAGAGGCGTCACGTCAACATGGGCGTTTACGCTACGGGTAGCTAGTCTCGTAAATTTAATATGTCATCTCTTATATTAAAATGGTCGTTAAGCTAATAGCGACTCCGCCTCCCCGCACGAGTGATAGGGTGATGCCGCAATTTACTTCGAATAACAAAAAAATCTTCTATTTGTTGTAAAGTTTTTATAAAATTTACTTAAATGTAGTACGATATAAATAATTACAGAAATATCGCTTTGTTTTTACATTTATCAAAGGAAATTTTACGTAATATTGATAGGTTCCACACAATAGATACAAGTAGCAAGGACTAATTTATATCAATGAAACTGAAAAGTAACGTAAATACTGTAAGTAAACTGTAAGTAAAGTAAATAAAACATTGTCATTTTATATAAATACTTTATAAAGTTGATAGGCATATTTTTGTATGATTGGAACTAAAAATGGTATTTTGAAATTAATACAAAAAAATTCTGAAAAATATCATTGGATTACTTAATAAAATTCATTCATACAGCTTATAAACTTAAATATTAAGAATTTATAGAATTGCCCTATGTATAATCTGAATATTGAATGTAAATTGTAGCATCAATGCAATTATTATATTAATTATACAACATAAATAATTTCAATCATTATTTATTAATAATATAACAACTATTTTAAACAATTGTGGTATACAAAAAATAAAATACATTTATAAAAGTAATTGCTCAATGATTATACAATTTAGACACTACCAAAGAGGCACTCGAGTTGCATTTTAAAACATAAATAAGGACCTCCATTATGACGCTCGCAACAAATTCCCGTCACTCCATTACGTTCTTACACATTACTCCCTTAATTGCTTCCGCTTACCATGAATTTTAACAACAAAGCACCGACGTGCCACAAAATAGGTAAAATATAGTGTAGTTTAGATTTCGCCTCCTAACATCAATTTCTATTTGCCGGATTTAAGCGAGCCTGAGACATGTACACCTGCGTTTCTTTATGGGGTCACACCTGTTAAAATCAGCCTGTTAAGAAAGGTAAAAGTGAAAAACAACTTTAACGCTGTTTGAGTAGTAGTTGAATTCGATTGGACACCTTTTGACTACAAATGTGACATGAAAGATATAGTGAAATGAAATAGTTTTAGAAAATAAATCGAAAACTTCTAATAATTTCAGTATAATCTATTCATAGATAATAATTACATAATAGAAGAGTATAAGTTAGTTCTAATAATGAGAAATGAAAAACTTTAGGTAAATTAATATTTAATGACTTCTAATAAGCTTACTTCTAATATACAATTGGTATGTCCTTATGTGACATTTAACATCCGAGTACACATTTTTATTCTAAAACAACAAACACGCACGCCTAATCGAAGTAACATATTATTTTTGTAGATTGCGGTTGAAGCTGATTAAACAAACATGCTACCAAGACATTTCATTGTTATAAGTCAAAATGTTTTCAAATAAGTAAATTTTATGACTTCACTCTTAGCGAACTTGGTACATTTAATATTTCAAGTTATACATTATTCGACATTAAGCCTAAGTATGTTAAAAGTCAATGACATTGACTATAATTAGATGTAAATTCTGTTCACGAATTTCAATTAACATTACCTATATACTTTTATAAAAGGCAATATAAAAACTTCAAAGTTACGTATGTAAAATGTTTTGAGCAGCACTCACATAAACACTTCTGAAAGACTCGTTGGTATTACAGACATTATTCTCCTCGATCGCGCATGAGGCAAACAAATGGTTTCCGTTTAGGAAATAACACTAAAAGTAGGCACATTTGAAACTGCCACTTAAATCTTGGGATCCTCGATCGCCATTTCTCTTAACGTCTTAACTGGTTGGTAGGCCCAACTGGCGCACCCTTGTCGTTACTGCTACGTCAAAGAATGGCCTATACACCCATGTGTACCGTACAATTGCTCTCGATAAGAAAAGATACCTTTAAAATGCCATTTCGACTCCAAATATATGTGTATAATGTTCATACTTTATACTATTCTTAAACAATATATTGTGAGCAAATAGATAAGATAAATACGTTCCTAGTGACGTATGTAACTTTTGATATTATTTTCACTGACCAAAAATGTTCTATAAATATAAAATTTAACTTACTAACAATTTACAACATTCGAATCCCTACAAATTACAAACTATGTTTCATCTGAACCTCAAATACTTTTACTCCAATTTTGTATTATACAAGATTCAATCCAACTGCCATTGAGATTCAGGGATTTTTAACTTAGTAATTCTAAAAAGCACCTCTCAAAGATTCGTATAGCTTCGTTGTGTCCGCTCATCCCTTCCCCCTACTATGGGCTGCGTCGAACAATCAATCACGTGCTCCTCCACAAGCGTGATTACCATAAACTTCCCGTTTTAGCAGGACCCAGCGCGCTTCTTCTAAGCTTTATCGATTCCTCCGCGGCCATTTTTGTGCCTTCTATATATCAAGCGTTGCGACCGTCCCTTTTC